TAATAAATAATATATATATATATATATATATATATATTGATATATTAAATTTATAACTTTTATATGGAGAGAAAATAATTTAAGCGCGAGTAGAGATTTTTATTTCCAAATTTCGCTCGCCACACTTCTGTTTTATCATTCGATTGACAATGCAAACACACTTGCTCCTGGAGCGCGCGGAGGCTGATCCTAGATTACGTGACTCCCATTTGCGCAGGGATCACCGCAGTGCAACTCATCGGCACTATCGTATGGCTGATAATCGAGCCACCGAACACCACGGAGATCCATCCGTATCCATTGTCCGCGGTTCTTACGTGCCGCGTGTCCACGTTCTCGCTGATGATGTCCCTCGTCTATAACATGTTCCTGATCCTGATGTGCACCCTCTACGCGTTCAAGACCCGCAAGATCCCCGAGGACTTCAACGAGGCCAAGTACATCGGCTTCACCATGTACTCCACGTGCATCGTCTGGCTGGCCTTCGTGCCCATCTACTTCGGCACCAACAACGACTATAAGGTCTGTGTGTCGCGGATCACCAAGTTCACCTGTGACGCGAGTCACGCGCGCGCGTCTTCCCCTCTCCCCCCCCACACACCCCACACACACACACACACACATATACATATACACACGAGCCTCACGGCGCGTTTTTCTGTGTTAACATGTAAAGTCGAGCGGACGGCTGCCTACGTTGCAGGTTCAGATCGCGAGCATGTGCATGTGCATCAACATCTCCGCCTCGGTCGCCCTCGGCTGCCTCTTCACGCCCAAGGTCTACCTGGTGCTGTTCCAGCCCTACAAGAATGTCCGTCCTGGCCATCCTAATGTACGTACAACACTGGTTTTGTAAAACCTGTCTCGTCTAACAATTAATCCGTGAAGCGGGATAGACTGCCCTAAAATTCGCGGCGATTAGACAGTTTGGACTCTAAGATACTAGTCTATCGTACTAAATTTAACCGACCTCTCGTGTTCGAGAATTCAATTTGGTCTTCGCCACATATACGTATATCTATTCAAATTACTGCCTTCTCTTCCCCTTGTAAATAAAGAGATTTCCACCTACTAATCTTTCCCTCGCGAAATAAGCACGTTGAAACAAACATTTTAATCTAATGCTACATTATGTAAATTACATACAAATTGAGGTTCACTATTGTAAATGGTTTATTGATTAGAGAACACAATGTTACAAATTACCAATTCAATTCTTTAGGATAAACAAATTTCCCTTCCAAATCCTTCGCTTTATTAGCTTAACGGATGGCTAATTCCTGGGCACTCATTATCAAATTAAAACAAATCCTTGATCATTGAATTTGCTCAGACTCCTATGTTTTTGAAAATAAGCACTTAACATGGGGGGGAGGGTTATCTTACAACAAAAACAAGGAAAGAAATTATTAAATCCTAATCTTAATTACGTTGCATAAGTATCCATTTATATATCATTTAATAATATTGATTCCTTAAAATTAAAAAATTAAAAAACAACTGTTTTTTTTATAACAATCCCATTGAAACGCAAAACGCTTAAAAAAGTCATGCCAAAGTGATAAAATCCTTCCTATTTATTTATTTAAATTATTAAAAATTAAGATTTACGTGGAATTAAGGATTTGAAAATTTAATTGTCAAACTCTTTTTTGTGACTATTATACACTGAAAAAGTAGTATGCAGTGTACCGAAGTATAATTATGAAAAAATGGGATTTTTTAAACTTATTGCCTCACAAACAGTAGAAGAAAACGTGCACAAGTCAGACACAGTTGGATGAACGTAGACACTGTGTTCAAAACGTTGCCCACAGACAGAATTGATTTTGATTGTTACATCGAATTCGATTGGATGCACACGAAGGAAATATAAAGGCAAATTGATGTAAAGGCATACTGCTAACACCAATACTAACCGTCCGATCATCAATTCCGATCATCAATTCCGATGTTCGGCGTAAGTTACCGCAAACACTGTTTGCGGAATTTATGCCGAGCAGAATTTCCATTCCATTGGCCGGAGACGCTTGCCGAGCGCGCCCGGTAAATCCGCGCGGCGGCTTTTCGGGTGCATCGGCGCGTGTATCGCAGAAATACCCCCTACCCTGGGAAATTCGCCACTTAAGCCAGAACCCTCCTCTCCCCCTCTCCCCCTTCCACCCCTTCCCCAAATCCCGAATCGGCCTGTCGCCTGACGATCGCCTAAAATCCATTCCGGGGGTTCCGCAGACGGGCGGCCTGCAGAGCGGCAACCGGGCGGCGTACAGCATGCGCTTCGCCGGCGGACGTAGCCAGACGATGCAAAGCGTGACCTCGGGCTCGCGCAGCAGCCCCCCGATGTCCCGCGGGGGCGCGGGACGTGCGGACGAGCGGAAGCACGCGAACGGTGAGACCCAGGCGCTGGCGAGTCCGTCGGTCGAGGAGACCTCCGTTAGCTAGGTCGCTCTCATACACCTCCCTCCCTGTCCAGAGCATCGGGCGAGGATGCGCGAAACCGAGGCGGAGGTGTATGTCAACGGCGACGACAACAACGGCGGCGACGGCGGCGGCGGCGGCGGTAACGACGGCGGCGACGACGACGACGAAGAGGAGCGCAAGCTGTCGACCGTTCAGGAACTACCGGAGCTCACCGCCAGCCCGCCGATGATGAGCCTGGCGATGTGCCAAGTACGCGAAAAGTACGAGAAAAGTCAGAGCGAGCAGCCGCGCCGCGATTCCGATCAGGTGACGGATTTTCCTCGTCTCCGATAGAAGA